AAGATGTTAATCCATATGGTTAAAATTAAACCCTGAATCCTGAACATTCTCAAGGTCGTACTCCTTGGGGTTTCTAAAATCCAAACATTAGGTTGTATTGTAACTACAGTGATGCAGAGAATATGTAATTTAATGATTTAGAGAATATACTGTTTTTGAAGAGCATAACCACTCTTTTAAGTAGCTTGTACCAGCCTTCATATAAAAATGTTGCACTCAACAAAGACTTTCAAAATATAACATTTTGTTTGCAAATGGGTGTTTTAAGTCAATAGCAGCAAATACTTGAGAGATATTATGATATCACAAAATAGTTGGAAAGGGAGATAGTAAAACTAGTGGTTGTTGACATGGAATGTTTATTTTGGAGAGAATTCTTGACATTTTTACCCCACATCAGCATAACAAGAATTTGTAGAAGAGGAGGGAAACATTAATGTATTTGTTGAGAATTAATGTCCTTTAGCACACATTTGTGTGAGTGAATATATCATGGGTAGTACCATAAATATAGTAATTAAAAAGCTGCATGCTAAACACTGTGGACTGGCTTACACATTTCTTTCCTCCCTTGATGGCTTGTATTCAAGTGAATAGGGTATTGTTCATCTTGGTTTCTTTGCATTCTTAATCAAAAATAGAAAGAAGAATAGCAGTCTCAAAGATTTGTTCTTCCTCAAAATATTGCTCATCAGATGGGCAGAAACAGATTTGAGGTTTTCAGACCAAGATATTTTTTTTCACAGTTGAGAAAAATGTCACATAGTACATACCAACATGTATTGTACATACACGTACACACCCTATTATTCCTCACTTTTGGAAACTATCACTAAAGCTATTTTCAGATAGTACCACAGTATGCTGCCATGTAATGTGTAAAAGTTGTTTAGCATAATCAGTTATACCTTAGCGCTTATGTTAAAAGAAGTGAAGTGATGAATAATATAAATACATCATTGGGCAAAAAGCATAGTCCTATAGCTGAGTGAATTTTCAAAAATTTGATTATCTCATTACGATCTGTTACCCCAGTGGCATGAACCTGAGCAAGTGGTTGTGTGAAGGCACCCCTTGGAGGAGAGGCACCACCCCTTGGGGTGATGATGTCCTGTTCTTCACCAAAGGATCCCACAGAAGACAGGCAGATGTAAAGTGGGCAATTGCTGTTTGTTTGTATGCTCAAAATGTTCACACCTATTTTCCTATTTAAGAGGCATACTGTTTTTTTTATAATTCCTATATTTCTGAATCCTCTTACTTAACACACGATATTTATTTATGAGGCTGTAAAGATTCCTTTCTGCAAAGAGGAAAGTTAATGCAATTGAAAGTGATTTGCAACTTGGCTTTGAGTCAATTAGGGTGGGAAAGGAAGGAATAGAAAGACTGTTTCTGCTCTCACCATTTAATTGGCCCCCTTACCTCCTAGTTGTGAGAATTCTTCACTTATGTATTGGTTTATTGATTTATTCCACATTTTTGGACTGCTTGCTATATATCCTAGGCCCTGGAGATTCAAACATGAACGGCCCAATCAGTAGGCATCTCCTAGATTTGAGGCCATTTCATTCCTTAATGACTGTAATGAACATCCCATTGGCTTTCTAGAATTCTACAATTCTGTCAAAAGATGGCCTGGAGATGTTCATGTTGACTGAATAAACAAACTGTAGCACAGCCTCAGAGTTTTCAAGAACACAAATGCTGCCTGAAGAATTTAAAATCTACTCCCCAGGGTGTTTTCCAGCATTAGATTTACTAATGAGCCTTGCTACTCTTGACACTATTGGAGTGCTTTCCAAGAACCAAGTCTCTCCACCAACTTCTAGAATTGCCAGAACCCATGGTGGAAAAGAGGGTAGGAAACTGAAGTGGAATGATATTGCTGTATTTTTTTTTTAAGAGTTATGGTAATCTGCAGGACAGATGCTACCAGCTACCAACTCCTCCCCCAACCCCTTCTTGCCTTTACATTCAAATGTTGTCTACCTCTTCTTCATTTTTATTTGGTTAGTCATGCTAAGAATGGTCTTTGAACTGAAGCATCTCAAGAAGCCTTGAAAGATGTTGGGTAGTGGTTACACTAGATGAAACTATATACAAACCCTTGGAAAGGTTGGCACCCTAAGGTCATTTTATTATTTTTTTAAAGATTTCTTTATTTTTATATAAGAGCTGGGGTACAGGCCAGAGGCGCAGGAGGGTTAGAGGATTCACCAGGGACAGAGCGTGGTGAAGAACAGGCAGACTTTTGACCGAAATACACTGCTGAGGGGAGCAGCGGGCACGACAGGAGAGGTCTGCCGCGCCATGTGGGAATCTCCCTGGCCAGCCGGGAATTGAACCCACACTGCAAAGGCTGCAGACAGCTTCATAGCACTGCACTCAACCCACTGCACCACTGGGGAGGTCCCCCTGAGGTCATTTTAGGAAGAGTATTCTTCAAAACTTTTTGCTTATATAGTATTTTTTGATAACATTACATTCTCCTGTGGGTGTGCTTACCTCACAAATGCCACTTTACACCTTGATTTCTACTCATATCTATGTTTATATGCCTTAAAATGAGGTTGGATTGCTTTCATTTGGAGGGTGGGGGGAGCTTGCCAGAACTCAAGGTTTTCAATATTTATGTTCTCAAACCATTTACCAATCACTTTTTTCTCAGCAGGAGCCCTGCCAAGTAGTGTGTCCTTTGTGTCATCTGGTCTATTGCCTCCAACGTCCCAACACTATTACCTGCAAACTTACTATAACCAGATTTGCTTTTATTCCCACTCTAGTTTTACTTTCCTTTTCAATATCAGCCCCTTCTGCTCCATTTTCTCACTTCCTTTGGGTTCTTATTCCATCCTTATCTCTTCCCTCTTGGACTCTCAAACTTCCCCCCTCTCCTGATTTCCCCCATTTCATTGAGAAGGACTTCTGTGAGCATTTACGCTTTCCAACAACCATCCATTCTCCTTCCTCCTCTTTGCACTGGCTCTGTTCTCTCCTCCACCACTTCCCTGAAACCGCCCTCAGTCAAGGTGAGCAGTTAATGCTGTTTTGTTTTTTAAAAATAAAATCCAAAGGTGTATATTTTCACTTCATGTCTTTATTCATCTCTTTGTATCCCATAGTCTCTCTGTCATTCTTCCTCAGTCCTTTTCAAAAGATCTTTTTCCCCTTGCCTGTTCTATCATTGTTCATCTTCTCTAGGGTTCTGCTTTTATCAACAATCCCCTAATCATCTCACTCTGCCCTGGTTCCTTCAGTGAAATAATTTTACTACTCTCTGCTAATGATCACTTATATGCCTTCATATTTGCTCAGGTTTCTTCCTCAAATTTCATGCATAAGAATATCTGAGTGTCCCACCTGAATCTTCTACACCTCAATTTGTGGTGCCCTACACTGAGTCTCTCTCTCTCTTTTTTTTTTTTATTAAATTTGTTTCTTCTCCTGGATCCTGTTCCTCTGTTGTCACTCCCATCCACCCACATGTTATCAGTCACCAAGTTGTTCTGCTTTTAGCATCTGGATGTTTCCCAAGTACTACCTCCTCTCCCCTTGCCAGCCTATCTCCAGCACCCTAAACCCTACTCTTCCTCTCATGTCCAGCAATCAGATTGGCTTCTGTAGTCTCCAACTTGCCACTCTGTCCCTTTGAAATCCATCCAGAGAAAGTAATGCACCTGAAATCCAGATCTGACCCGTCCGTGGCTGTTTGCTACCAGGACAGGGTTCCTGAATGTGTCTGCAAGGTTATGTTCTGGCTCCAGGCTTCTTTTCTGGCTACACCCTAGAGTTCAGCAACCCCTAATGACACCATGCAGTTTCTTCTGCCTTTTCTGTTGTTTTGTTTGCCAATCCTTTGCCAAGTCTGAGGACATGCCAGGCACCCCTTATTTTGTAAGCCCTCCTTGACCTCTGTGTCTGTGCTAAATGCCTCTGCTTGACATGAATCCCAGTGATCACAACCACCCCACTGCTCCACAGGGTCGGTTGTGTGCATCTGTCAGCCCTACTAAATTTCACTTTCCTAAAGACAGAGACAGTGTCTTTTTTTTTAAGTTTGTTTTTTTTTTTTCAATTTATACAAGAACTGGGGTACAGACCAGAGGCACGCGAGGGTGAGAGCATTCACCAGAGACAGAGTGGGGAACAGAACAGGCAGACTGACTGAAATACACTGCTGAGGGGAGCAGCGGGTACGACAGGAGAGGTCTGCCACGCCATGTGGTTATCCCCCTGGCCGGCCGGGAATCAACCCGCCCTGCAGAGGCTGCAGACAGCTTCACAGGACTGCACTCAACCTGCTGCGCCACCCGGGAGGTCCCCAGAGACAATGTCTTATTCATCATCCTAGCCTCAGTGGCTACATGGTGCTTGGCCTATAATACATGTTCAATGCATGTTTTGTAAATAAAAAATAACCACAGTATATCAACACATGTCTATAAAAACAGGCAACATACACGAAGGGGATTTCTGGAGTACTAGTAATGTTCTGGGTTTTGATCTGGTGTGTTCATTCTAGGAAAATCCCTGGCGCTTTCCACTTGTGATATGTGTATACTCCTTTGCCTATGCTCTACTTGAATGAAAAGTTTAAAAAAAAATAATCAATTTGATGTCTTACCTGCCCAGTACAGAACATTTCTTTTACCCTTGCAAGCTTTTAGAATTTTCACAGAATTTTCACAGAATTTTCACAGATGAAAAGGCATCCACAAAATAAGGGTCTGGTCTTCCAAAGCGGCCCGCCCTGGTGGAGGGACTCATAGTGCCCTGTGCTTTTGTTGCACTTAGGGCCGGGGCCACATGCTAATCATCATTGTGCTCGGTGCTGCCTGCAGTGACAGGAAGACTTCATTTCCCATGTGACTATGAATAATTCATAAACGTGGTTATCTGGAAATTTGTGGTCATCATTAGCATTTTAATGGGGAAAAAATGTAGTCATTATCCTAAATCTGTTTTGTTTCTACTTTTTTTCCTTCTCCCCATCACAGCTAACCCTCTGTCTTTCCCGAGTACTTGGAAACTGCCGAGCTCCCTGCTAATGTGCTGACTGGTCACTATGGGCAGACAGTACCTGGAGGCTCCCTGTCACCCAGGCAGCTCATGTACGTATGAGATCGGGCTCTATTTCTTTTTTTCCCCTTTAATTTTTATTGTAGAATTTTTCATGGCATGGAACTACAGAAGGTTTATGAGATTTAAATGAGATATTTAGACATGCAGGCGAATAGATTGCTCTAGGGTGAGTTTTTAATATTGAGTGATGAGAAACGTTATCTAAATTAGGATTTTTATAATTCAGTGACCCTGGAAGACCCGGCGTGTTTATCAGCAGTCTCCCTTTCCAGTTTCAATACATCTGTTCACATACAGGCTTTTTTTTTTAAGCTTTCTGTTTTCATCCCACTATGTAACATTAGTACCAACAGCACCTACCATAAATTAATAACATTTCCCAGAGATTGTCTTAATTTCTTTGAAATTAAAACATTCCTAAATCCAGAACAGAGAGCCATCGGGTATGTCATTGTTGACTATGTGTGAGAGTTCTCAGCTCTTCCTTTCTTGATGATTTTCCATGTCTTACAGATTTAGGTTTCCCAGACTTTGCTAGTTTGTCTTTATTGGTTAACAGAGGAGAAAAGTGATTTCTGTCTGTTTCATGATTACAATAAAGTGATTATATAAAGGGATTACTATTGCTGTAAAATTACTGTTTATTTCTTATATCTCATGAGAGTTTTCTCAAACCTATTCTTACTCCTTTTTATCTTTTAGCCTTGGGCCTGCTCTTTGGGTATTTGTTTTTATTGCTTCCTCAGACCTCTGGAATTTTGGATTCAAATCAAGGGTGTGTTTAGGGTAATTCCCCTGTGTGCCTTTGCTTCCATGCTCTTTCTGTACTTACATTTATTCACACTCACCTTTAAAATCCTATTTCCAGGTATAGTTCAGTTTTGTCTTCACTGAAAAAGTCAGAACCATCCTCACACCCTTACCCAGATGACTGTTTCTAAAATAAGCCCTGTCATTAGAAATAGCAGCGGAAGGGAGAGCTGACAAGAGTGGAGATTCAGACCCGCCACCAGCGTTAAAGCCAGCAGAGGTGGGGCAGCCGGCTTTTATACTTAAGCATTCTCCGAGGGCATTACTGGAGGACGCCGAAGTTAGCAGTTTTCATAGAGATCATACTAAGAAAAATTTACTCCTGTGTATTGTAGAATAGAAATCATGAAACTATGACCCACAGGCCAGATCCAGCCCATGACTGTTTTTGTAGCTATTCACCTTGGTTTTTAAATGTTATCAATTACATTCTAAATGCTTATATAAATACCTGCAAATCTCTTTTTTGCGTCATAAAGCCTACAATATCTATGATCTGACCTATGAAGAAAAAATTTGTCCCTGCTGTCAAAGAAAGTTGGAAGACAGGTACTATGTTAGAACCATATGAAATCATTATTTGAGCAGTTTTGACCTACCAAAATGCTAGTTTCATATGGTTCAATATAATGTATTTTTAGCAACTTCTTTCAAAGTGGTTAAAATTCTAAAACTTGGGCTCTTGGAGTGCAAGAAGTAAATTAACTTAGAAGATTCTTCTGTGGATCTTTTCATTTTTCACTGCCTTGGTCAATGATTGATCGTGCCTCTCCAGAGCTTTCCGAAGGGCTTCAAGCTACAAAGTCTTCTATTATCAAGTACTTGCAAGGAAGTGCTTCTTTTTGACTCATTTTTTACCAAGAGCTCTCTAACAGAAAACTCCTCTTGTCTTACCCTTCCTGGGTCCAGGGACTTGCTAGTCATCCCTAGGAGAAGTGGCTGTGGTCCCTGACATGCTGAGAGCATCATTGGCCCTTTTTTCTCACAGAAGGTGGGTGAAGGCCACCTTTTCCATCAGGCACACATGATGGTAACTGGGTCTGCAGCACATGGCTTGAAAGATTTTTTTCCCCAGGAACTAGCTTGTGGTGTTCACCCTCTCGTGCTCTCAGACTGTATTTTTCAGGGTTGTTGATTCCTTAGTCCAACCTATTAAAATTGTCTTATTTTTTGTGGGTTTTTTCTTACCCACCACCCTCTTTGTACTTTCATTCTCCTCTACTAAATAAGATTTACTGGTTGGAGCCTTCAGCTGACATTTTTGTGGCTAGTATTTGTGGTAGAAAACATTAACCTCAGCTGCTCTTTCTCCTGTCACCTAAGTCAAGGCCTGGGATTCTCTGGGCCAGATCTGTGTCTGCTTGGGGCCACGCTGTTCCCAGGAGAGGGGAAAGTATTTCACAAGGAGAAGATCCTCTGGAGTTTATAATTTTGTCATTAGTGTGGTTAGAGCCATCAGTTAAGACTGGCAGCATGCACTGTACCCTCAGAATTGAGGGTTCTCATGGCAAATTGGAGCTTCAGGTTTTCTTTTAGTTTAGGGACCTTGGTTCTGCCTTTCAAGGCTGTGTTCTTCCAGAACAGAATGCTGTTCTGTGGTGGAATGCGGAATGGCATCCGCTGAGCACCAAAATAAGGCAATAGCTAGCTAGAGATAACCGACTTCTCCTAGCTAGTCATAGTGGTAATTGTGCTTGAGCTTGGACTAGAGTTTTAAAATGGTCCTGGAAATTGCTAGGAAGTTTGAATCCTTGTCTATTTGTGTCCACCCTCATCCATTCCTTTGTGTGATGCAGCCATTGCACTAAGCCTGACCACCCAGATCTGTTCTTTGCCATGAATGGTCTCCTGGCCTCTGGCCTGCGGTCTCTCTACAGGCAAATCTGACCTCTGAATAGTGACCAAGTTGATGTAATTGGTGCACAGCTCAACCACCTCACTTCCCTGCAGAGAAAGTGTGCTGCATCCCCACTTGTCCAGAAGGACGCCTTGACATTTAAGTCCTCCACATTTACTTTTAATGCATTTACTTTTTGTCCTATTGCCCTTAGGAGTGTCACCCCTCTGTGTGTCCTATGCCAGCCTAAGAGGGCAGCTCTGGCAGGACACACCCTTTGCCTTTGGGTCACTGTACCAGGGGTCGTGCTGCAGAGTCTGGAACACAGAGCCAGCTTTGACACCCTGCTCACACCTCACTCTGGCTTTAAGGAATAGCAGACTCGGCCCCTCTCCCAGAAACCACCCTGGCTGGAAGCCTGTACTCCTGTCTCTCCTCAGTCTCCCTCCTGAAGCCTGTGTCTGAAATTACTCTTTATATTTTGGCCGTGTGTATGCTTTGCCTGAACTTCGACACTCGGCTCTTTTTCATTTCCCTCCTCTGTGAGAGGACAGTGCTTTATCTATGGTCGAAGCTCAAATATTTGTGGAATCATCTCGGGCTTTAGAGAGGCTCTGAATAATAAGTGTCCTTATAAAGCCCCTGGAGAGCATTTTCTAGAGCATTTGGCAGAGCCTCTGCAGGCCAAGAGGTGTGATCAGGCTCTGGGCTGTCCATGCGCCTGGCCGGGCCATACCCCAGCCCTACTCTCCTGCCTTGCTGTCCCTCTCACTCAGAGGGTGGGTGTTTCTGTAACAGGATGGTCCCCAGGGAAAGGGGAGGTTCCAGGTTCTCTGCCCCAACCAAGGGAGGGTGGAGATGAGCACAGAAAAGAAGATGCTAGAAAAGAGACTTGGAGAGGGAAGAAAGCAGGATGGAGAGCCAGGAGACCTGGAAGAGCCACGTGGAGCAGAGAGACATGTGAAGAAGCTGCACTTACTTCTTGGTCTTGGACTGGTTGGAACAGATGTGGGTGAGAGACCCTTGGGGAGGTTAATGATGGCAACTTTTATCTTGATTTTGATTTTGGTCTTTTCCTTCCAGACTTGTCTGGTCATTTCTGACCCTTTCCTGTGGGTCCCCACCAGGTGGTACCTTAGACTTGTGGCAGACTTTTGGGCCTCAGTGGTCCTGCTTTGGGCCACCCCTGTTTGTCTGGGCATTTATCCATGAGGGGATGGGTAACTTTGGGTGCTTGATTTGGAAACTTTATTCTTGCTCTTTTCTGTTTTACACACTGATTGTAGTAAAGTTCCTTTCCATTAAAGTGCCTACACACGAGAGTATATTTGCCTTGATGCAGTGAATGGCAGAACCTATTTAGAACAGGCAGGTTTGGGGGTTCTTGAGTGCTCCTCGCCCTGCCCTGTAACATTTCCTCCCCTCTGACTTAACGAAATTGCCATTTAAAAAGTTTAAACAGTGACAGGCACCCATGATTCTTTCTTTTGTCTTTCCCTCCTTGACCTCCTCTTTCTCACTGATGAAAGGCCTTAGTTTTGGTTGACACCACGCTACACTGTATCCTGAATTTCTTGGAAGTATTTCACTTCTCGCTGGATCAACTTTGAAACATTGATCTTAAAATGTCCATTTCATAGAGGGAAAAACTGAGGCTGAAATCAACATAGAATCTTGTCAAGGCGGAGGTGCACTGTAGCTTAGTTCCTCCTCCGGCCCCATCCCGGCCTTGACTCTGTGCTTTTCTCCCTCTGGGCTGTCTGATGACCTGCCGATCACCTGGTGATTTCTGCTTACCTGTTCTTCCCACTGCAGCTTTTGGTAACATGAGGCATAGAGACAAAAAGGTTCAGCATCAGAGGATGTGAACATCTCTCTCTTGCCTCTCTTATCCAAATGGTCTGGCAGCCGTAGCCTAGAGATCACTTCTTATGACAAGATTAATAATAATACAATGATAGTCATAAGACTATAAAAATCATACAAATAATACATGTTTAATATAGAAAATAAATGAAAGAAACTAGGGTCTCACAACCCTATATACCAAGAGGTAACCACTTGTAACATTTTGTTCCGTACCCTTCTTTTTTTTTTTTTTAGATTTATTTTTATTTATTTATTTATTTTATTTATTTATACAAGCACTGGGTACAGTCAGAAGCGCGGGAGGGTGAGAGAATTCACCAGAGCCAGAGCGGGGAGCAGAGCAGGCAGAAGGACCGAAGTACACTGCTGAGGGGAGCAGCGGGCGGCAGGAGAGGTCTGCGCGCCATGTGGGACCCTCCTCCGGTGGCCGGGGAGCAGCCGGGGATCGAACCGGCGCTGCAGAGGCTGCGGGCAGCTTCGCAACCCAGCGCTCAACCGCTGCGCCACCGGGGA